GAGAAAGGCCAGCGCTACTTGCAAGTCGAAACTCTCACCCGCACGCACTTGTTTGCACTCCAGTAATTCCCGGTACGACTCGAACCGGCGAAACGTATGGAGCTCTGCCCTCGGGCCCTAGCCACTTGCCACTACTTGAACCACCAGATTTTCCATCGACGCTGCCCGCATTTTCATGCTCGACTATCAATTATCCTTAGTGGCCTCTGCTAGGCCAAGCAACTCCATCTTGAAACGCTCCCTTGTTGAGGGGCACAACACGAACAGACCGATTTGTATCTGTATTTGGATTTGTCCTTGTCCCATCAACCGCATTGCAGGCGGCCGGCTGGACGACTAGACCAGGTTGAACAGGGACAGGAACACGTCAGACCAACCATCACCCATCACGAAGCTCACCTTGCCGAACCTACGAGCCATTGCGCCCATTGTCGGGACCGTGAAAAGGTTCCATTGCGTCAGCTGCGAGCGTAAGTTCTGTGGATCCTAGTTGCATCAAGAGCACATCCCACACTTCCCTCGACCTATTTTCACCATTTCTGTGCAACGCATATGCAAGCATTCCGCACATGCGTGTCTGTAGTTCATAGCAAGGGGTGCTCTGCCTGTTTAATGTTGGCCAGAATTGGCACCTAGCAGTCCTTTTGTCCTTGGTGGATGCATATAACGGGTCTTCTTCCCGCCGCACAGCGGACGCATTCGTCCTGTGCTTCTTGTCCCAGCCAACACCAGACCAGTTGACGGGCTGCTAACACGATTGTTTGCCACATAGCTTGTGCGCCATTTCGATAAACTTCGCCCTCGGCTTCTTCATTCTGACCTTTCTGTATCCTCGGTCGCCCACCCTCTCACCAAGCAGCACCAAAGCACTATCTCTAAAACGTGCTGGGCCGTATTTCCCATTCACGGACGAATGCACCACCCTATTCCGAAATCGACGCAGCAATCATCACCAAACCTCAGGGACCGGCACAACTCGGAACTAAGAAACGCCAGATATCACCACTACAAACTGCATTTCTAAAGGCCTATCAGTCCCCGACCAAGAATCATTGACAGCTTGGCTTCTCGCGCCTTAATCACTTATATTAAACTCGACTGATGATGTGTCGTCTATTGGTTTTCGCAGGCAGCTGCACCAGGTGCGGCGAGTCACAAACGTGGGATGATCTGGGCCAGCAACTGGCCTGTTTGCAAGCCAAAAACGCAGGATGCTTTGGCCAATGTGATCCAGGCATCTATGCCGAGCAACACCCATTCGATCAGGAGTGTGATCGATGTACCGAAGAGGACGAGGGCATAGGTGACATCGGCGATGACGCCTTCATGGCTCCCGAGAAACGGGCCGCTGAAACCGACGCAAAAACTCATCGCAAGAAGCAAAAGGTTTGAGGTGCAATTCCAATCATATAGCCATGCACCCTCCTGGAGACCCAGGAAATTCGAAAGCAGGACCCGGAGCAATCCGGCCGTTGAGCATTTCATCATGGGCAATCATGAGCGCACCTTTACGAAGTTACGTGTCCACGTATCTATGCCGCTGTGTCTTCTCCTGTTTTATTTTTATTTTTTCGGTACATTATTTCTCTCCTCATTTACCAAGTCCCCATCGACGCAATTCGTATTTTGGCATAACCAGGCCTTTTTTTCCTTTTCAGCTAAGAGCGGTTTTTTATATTTGGCCAACGGCACATGATTTTTTGTTATTAATCATTTGGTCAATATGACTTATTTAGGCATGGCGACGGAGTTGGCGGTCAGCCGAGTGGAAAACTGTTTACAGGCGTTGGCGCTTAGTGAGAATGTGGGTTTAATGGGCCACCTCGGAATAATTGTCCTTTTTTTTTTGTTTTACTGGAATAGCTAGATATGGAGGAATAAACTCGCAGTGTCGGAAATCTGATAATCACAGTATGGTGAAGGAAGTGAGCCCGTTAGTTGTATTCGGATGCGACATGACGCGATCCGTGGCAAAAAGGGCTGGAGAGAAGTGATGAGCCGACATTTTAAGCCCCAACTCAAATGGAAAATGCTGGCTATTTTCCATGAGCGATAAAGTATGGAGCCTAGTTTCAAATCATCTGAACGTGAGTTACATACATACACTGCTCCTACCACGGTATGCCGTCTAAAGAGCCCCTATTCTTCAAAAACCCCAGCCAGAACTCTGACGAAGATGTTCTGCGACATGTCGTAATTATGAGCCGCTCGATGGTTGTTGCTGATATTCCATCGCTGGCTCGTCCAACCATGAATTTTGTATTGCTTTCCAGTATCGCTCCGGCTCCGACCTCATGATGTCCACATGTTTGGCACCCACAAACTTTTCCAGTCTGATAGTGAAGCCAGCCTCCTTGGCCTTTCGGGCATTATCTTCCACATCCTGCCACAGGATCAAGTCGTCTTCTGTTCCATATAGATACGTCCGCCTCTCTTCTCTCGCCAGCAGTCCTGGAGACGTGAGCGCTCGGGCATTTCGATTTTGAATAGCCGGAAGTCGACGGAGAAAGTGGTACAAGCAGACTATGGCGATGATGGAGTGCACAACAGGGCCAGACCACCACGGAAGCATTTGCATCAGGGCGTTGTAGGAGCTCATCCACCGAAAATACCCCGGACAAGAGTCGAACACTAGTACATATCGTGGTAATACCGGAGTGCCGTGTGGTTGTCCGCCGCGAAGCATATTGCGGAGACAACTGGCTGTGTGGATGCCGCCGTTTGAGAACATTTGGATAAGCATCTTTGGCGACGTATCACCTGCTTCGTCTGCTTTTTGCTGGCGCTCCGACATGTTGCGAAGATAGGGCAGCGCGGGAGACAGGTCGCGCCGTGTGCGCCAAGGGAATACGACATGAGTGAGGGGACATTGCGCAATGAGGATTCGTGATGATGGGTAGATTTTGCGGTATTGTAGTGCATATTTCGATATGTGGACTTGTCGTGCGCCCATCCACGATAGGATGAGGATGAGTTGAGGTTCTCTTGCCGAAGCTGGTGGTTCATGATGAGGGTCGTAGTACGAGACGGCCGGGCTGAGGTTCTGCATCCATGACAGGGCTTCTTTATCGGCGGCTTTGGAAGAGGCGCCGGCCTTTGGATTTAGTGACATTTTCATCTCATCCACTATTCTTGTCGTGAATGAGATGGTTCTTTGGGATTGCTGTGCGTATATGATGATGGTATTGTCATGAAGCAGAGCGTCGAGTGTTGTACGGCTGATGGGCACACCGTTATCGTGACACCCACAGAGGATAGAGAAGGCGTCAAGTCACGGACTAGTCCATGATTATCACGAGTAGGATCAAGTCCTTGTGATTCTTCGTCATAGCGGCGGGCCGAGGCTCCGGAGTTCCGTTCTGGAAGCTCAGTGGGCGAGAGCTCCAGACGATTTCCCCAGTCGGCATTTTGGGGTAGCAGTGTTTCCCCGCGCGACCGTTCAATTACACAATCATTTGAGTGTGGGGAAGAATGCGCACGCCCAAGAGATTTTGTCGCTGGGTTTGGTTCTCGATGACCTCTGGAGCCTAGCTGTGGCATTTCGGTCCCTGTCAGCCATGTGGCGGCTCATGCCCAACAGCGCGGTTAAGAGTTGTGGTGGTGCATAATTGACTACCTACCTTGTAGGTACGGAATAGGTAACTACTAGGTAGACAGCTTCCTCTGAGGCTGCATTTGTAGTTTGTTGTTACGCAGGTGCTGGGAATGGGCACACCGTTATGACAAGTTTAGACGTTGCGTCTATGCCGTTGAACCCGACCACATGCACCTATCACCTATCAGACCGAGCCTTTGTCAAGGATGAAAGGGAAACAGTGCCCATGGCACAAATTTCCGTATACGAGTTTGTAGGCCCTCCTGTTTTCGAATGATGACACGGAGCCGAGATTGCCGTTTTGTTTACCGACATCTTGTAAAACCACAAATCGGTCTCCATGATGCAGCACGGATATGCAGGCCAAACTGCCGTGTGACGTGGCACCTTGGCTTGTCCAGTGGTATCAACCTGGATACATGGGACGTTAAATGTCATGCCAGTTCGTTACCCCATGCGACTAAATTGTGACTCGCGATTGGCTTCCGAGCGGTCTTGTGTCTACCTGGTGCAAGCTTATATACAAGTAAACGAAGCTTCAGAGGTCTGATGAGAGTATAGTATACATAGTACGCACTTGTAGTTCATCGTCATATCCTGGTTCTGTGCCTCGGTAGTTACCAATGAACCGGGCCACCAACTTTGTTTCCTCGGCCAAAATAGCTTCCAAACAATAATCGTCATTGTTTTCCCGTCACGTCGTATGGACCACCATCGGACATTTGAGTAGAGTAACTCTGCAGACAATAGTTCCAAGGAACTATCCTTCGCCTACGTCCCGAGATTGTTTGAGGTCCCGTGCGTACAGCTGAGTATATATGTATCAGCCACGAAGATTTGCGTAACGACATGAACCACTCCGTGTCAGAAAGGGAAGAAATACCGCATCCAAAGAGGCTTTCCTACGATTTTGGAGCCTAAAGGACTAGGGCCATGCTTCGGTAGAAGAATTAACGTCCAGGAATCTCTCCTGTCGTTCAGCAAACTTCGAATGTTGTTTCGAGCTTGCGGACGGCGTCAGAAACGGAAGGCGCAAACCAGCAGCCTTGGCTCTTCAGACTGCTGTGTCCCGCCTGCTGGATGTTTTGCGACTTGATCCTAGGTCGTCCGCACATTCACTGGTAGGACCACTATGATGCGGCAAAGCATTCAATGTTGCAGCTGTCAATAAATCTCAGTCTTCAATTGCCATCCCATCCTTCTCCTCTTGATGGTCTTCTTCTCTCCTATCGGCACCCTTCATCACGCCAACGCTGTGTTGATTTGTACTTAAGTCTTCTGTGTCTCCATCCAGATATCGGGTGCTTCTTTGGTCACTCTCTGGTCCCCTGGATAAAGAAGTACCCTGTTCTTTCACCCTCTCAGACACACCCCCTGTTTCCCATTGGTAGAGCCAGTCGCCGTCATGATGCTAATCAGATTCTTTCTTCATATTGCCGGGGCGAGACTCGCCGTGACAGCACCAGATTCACCAGTTCAGCCACCAAGCGCCCCGGAATGGGACCTGTCTAAACCATTGAATGGGTTTACCTTCCAGCGAGCCAAGGCCATGTCTGCTGCTCCTACAATCGACAGGCCGGCTCTGCTTTATTCCAAGATTACCAACATTAAGAGCTCATCAAGCAATTATAATGCGGTTTCGAGCCTCGTGCAAATTTTGCAAACACCCCCTTCGCACGGCCAGCACACATATCAAAACATCAGCACCACCGGAAACTTATCGACTCAATACGCCATTCAATGCGGATGGGACGGTGCTCCAGTGTGGTTGCTTCTGGACACGGGAAGCGCGGACACATGGGCAGTTCAAAACGGTTTCGAATGCCATGACTCTGATGGTACGAAGCATAATCAAGCCGCATGTGCTTTTGGGAATCCCCACGTGAGGGAATTTCAAAACGGTCCCATTGATGGTCTTCACTTCTATCTAAAATACGGCTCTGGCGAGAAAGTCTTCGGCCCCATGGGTTACGCTGACATATCTTGTGGAGGTGTTTCTGTCCCGAGACAACAAGCTGGGCTCGCTAACTATACCTATTGGCACGGTAATAACCTTACGGTCGGCATCTTGGGTCTTGCATACCCATCCATTACAAGTGCTTTCTATGGGGAGATTGGAAAAGAAGCCGCCTGGAATGCCATCCAATATGTACCTTTCCTGACAAATGCCATCATGCAAGGAAGCATAGATCCGGTTTTTAGTGTTGCCCTGGCCAAGAACTCTTCGAATGGAATTATTGCCTGGGGTGGCTTGCCGCGAGTCCAGACAGCGACTGATGTCTACGCCAAGGCTGATCTAATCATAGTAAGTGGTGCCAGCCCAGAGGTGTGCAGACCAAGATTGTTGGTCAAGACTCAAGACAACCTCATTCAGAGGTGCTAACAAGATTCCATATTAGGCGAATCTCATTGGGTCAGCGGAAACATCTTGGAGATACTCCTTCTACACTATTATCCCTGATGGTATAGTCTGGGGCCAAAGGATGGATAAAACTAGATTCCCATACATTGTGGATACGGGGACGACAATGAACTATCTTCCACCTCGTAAGTCTACGGCATTTCACCAGAAATGTCCTCAATGACCAAGACATGGCTAAATATGCTGACAAATGTCGTAAAGCCTTGGCCGAGGCTGTCGCCAATGCTTTCCAGCCTCGTGCAGTGTACTTGTATCAATGGGGCTCTTACTTTGCTCCGTGTGATGCAGTACCTCCAAGTTTTGCCGTTGTAATATCAGGAGTTGAGTTTTGGCTCAACCCTGCGGACATGATCTACCGCGACCTAGTTGATCCTATGACCGGCTACTGTGCCGTTGCTATCACCAGTGGCGGGTCAGGACCGTACATCTTGGGGGACGTGTTTCTGCAAAATGTTGTGGCCGTATTCGACATTGGAGGAGCACAAATGCGTTTCTACCGCAGGGCTTGATATGAAGTAACATGTACGCGGGACTTGAGATTGTATGGGTACTATTTGGGTTGACGTGGTCATGAAGATACCAGTCCGGTCCCAGGCCTGCGTGAAATATTAACCCTACATCTCACCAACTTTGCTCCTCTCACACTTAGAAAGTATAATCATCTTGTACCCAGGCCAAGTGCAAAATGATGAATAAGACTATTGGGGATAGAAAATTGGAAAATGTTGGGTGTCGGATCAAAAAGTGATGTCGCGGTTTGTTCTGTCGAAACTCGCTGCGCAGCTGAATGGCCAGTTTTAATTGGCAAAGACGGTGGTAGTACTATCATCGGTTCAGGCAAACGGCAACAGTGAGGCCAACCAGGGGATGCGATGGCGCAGGGTAACCTGCTTCGGCCCGCTGCTTATCGGCTGGTGATCAACCAAAGATAGTAAAAGCCCCACCCTCCCCGAAGGCTTGGCTGGCCGATGACCGATGACCGATGGCGCAAACAATCAACGGCTGAGGTGAGCAGGTCAAGGGGAAAAAAAATCCCAGCCATGATAGTAGTATTGTCCACACGGATTGTGCACACGCCCAGTCAAGCAGCTTCACCACTCTCGCCTGCGCACACTGGGGTCTCAATCGTAACCATCCTTCGCTAGAGCAGCAAAACCATCAACAATAACCCCAGACTCGGTTCGACAAGCAGTCAGTCGACAGCCTGACCTCACCAACCTCGTTGAGTCAACGACGTCTGAATCGCAACCATGAGGGGTGTTACGGCAGGACCGCCATCGCCAAAGGCTTCCTCTGGTCGGGCTCGTGCCAACACATGGAACTTTAGCAAGGTGAGTGTCTGACCGCCCTCGATATTGGGGTCAACTTTCTTTCCATGTTATCAATTCCCTGCCACGGCAAGCGCCGTCTTATAGCATGCCCTTGATGTCGATGCCCTGCGCGTTCCTGCAGGTGTTGTGAACATGACCTGTGTGAAGGCATTCTCGAGTGAGGCACGGAGTCCTGGTGCTCGCTAGCTCCATGCCTACATGGCTGCATAGCTCCATCGGCGGTGAGCAAAGCAGTCAAGCTACGCTGTCCGCCGGTCTCAGCAGCCTAACAGCGGTTTTGCTTAGCCTGTCGGTGGTCAAGGTACCAGTCGCACCCAACTTGCTTGCTGCATTCCTTCTCTACTCTAGAATTGAGCGGCTCCGTATTAGCAAAACGAAAACGGTGCCGTCTATCAGTCAACAATCCAGGCAGCGATTCCGAACATGTGTCATGAGACGTGAATCGAAGCGCGTCTGAAACGATGATGACTGGGAGTTTTGCCCGGGTTGAGTGGTGATGGGATGAACCTGGATTAGAGCCAGGCCATACGGAGTACATACGTGCATATCGCACCTGTCGGACAGTCCCGGAGCCAGATCCCCGTGGTTGGTTGTGTACATTGATGCTGTTGGCCTCGCCTGGTTCCTGCAGCAAGGATCAGCCGAATGGGAAGCCTTTCCCCTAGCCAACCGGAGGGGGGCGGCTTGATCGAACGGACGACTGGGCCCGGCTCCGTGGCCAGACCAGACCAACGTCACGTCTGACCCGGTTCTTTGCATTCAACAGCAGGTATAAGAGGGTGCACTCCAAGGCCAGGGATCAGCATGGCTTCACCGACATCCTTTGCGCCTGAAATTCCGCAGAAGTCCTTGTTGAGATGCCCTATCTTGCTTCCCGCCTGGGTTATGATGGGGTACCGGGACGACTCGGGCTGACAGCAAGCACGAGTGGGGAAGGCAAAATTGATGGTGTCGCGGTATGTCGGTCGACTCGCTGTGCCTGACATACCAGACGTTTGGTGTGCCAGGTTTAACCACCCACCAAACCACCCCACCAAGCGGCCAGAAAGACCACTATTGTATTCCTCGGCTCACTCGACAACATCTACCGGGCGAGGACGAGGGGGAAGCTGCTCTTGTACGAGGGTCAATGTGGTGTCCGTCACTAGAGACAGGAAAAGCGAGGCGCGGAAGAACACAAATTGGCTGCGGGATGCCGGCCCTCGTTTCCTCCAGACCTCAAGATGTCTCAACTTGAGCAAAATTGCGTATACTCGGGGTGTTCACATCGCTGGACAGGCCGTTGAGCGCGACGGGCACCAGATGGTATTTTGCCTTGTCCTTTTTTTTTGGATAAGAATGATTGATATCCTCGGGGACAGAGGTGGGCAGGTTCTCGAGTCCAACCTGGCCGGTTATTCTCGGCCTCATCTTCTCATCAAGCCAGGCCTGGCCAGACCTGCCTTGGCTGTCTGTCTCGGCTGCAACGGCCATTCTGGTGCTCAATGGCGGCTACAAGTTTTTGGACATTCGGCCTCGACATTGAAAGGCTCGCTATTTGGGGAACATCTAGCATGATACCAAATCTCGACGACGGCACAGAGGGAGGGCAGACGGACAGACGCCTTGGTCACTGCTTGAGCAGATGCCACATCCCCACGTTCCCCGCCAGCGCCGCACAGCTCAAGTGGACTGCGCCTTGGCCCTCGGCTGTTAGTGGCAGCCACTGGGTGCACTTTGTGGCCACTGGCCACGCTCAAGTGGTCAACTGGTCAGTAGGCAGTTGTACCACCGCCTACCTGGCCGCCAGTGCGCCCAGGTGGCCGACCGCTTCGGCGCTCCTTCCCCGCGCTTCAGGGCGGTGCCGTCTGATGCCCGGCATGTCTGTCGTTGCTGCCTGGGGTGCTCCTGCCTGGCGAGCAATTAGATCCCAGCTCACTATACCTACCACGTAGGTACCTAGGCACACCCAGGCAGGTACCCCGCAGCCTCGAAATTTTCAGTGCCTCACGCGATCATCGACCGGCCTGGTGCTCCGTACTTGCTTCGTCACTCTCGTGTCGTTAAAAACGGGGACTGTCCCGACCTCGACGTTCACACCCCAAGATCAACCCGGCTCGACACAATTCAACTCGCTCACTCGTCCATCTCCTTTTCCCTTTCATTCATTTGTTTTTGTCTTTTTCGTTTCATACCCCCTTGTGGAATTCCAGCTTTGTCGAGGCCAAGGACGAGGCCAAACCCACCCAGCCGGGCGCCCCTGTCGTCGTCGTAACTGGGCTTGTTGCGCTGGACGGTTTTCACCACAACCGGATGCCTCAATATTCCTTCCGTTGACCTCCGTCGTGCGCTGGCGCCACATTTGATATTAAGTCTCTGTTGCCATGCCGTCCAGAACTGACAATGGTGTTGGGGTCCAGGTTGAAGACACAAGAATATGTGTGGTCATGGTTGGACTCCCAGCTCGGGGCAAAAGCTATATTGCACAAATAGGTAAGCTTTCAAGTTGCATGCAAACAGGGCCTTTCCTCATGGCTGGGCCGGGTGCCATGGAACTCATATCCGGCCCCGAAATCCCATCCTCTCTCTCTGCTCTTTGCTTGTCCAGAACAAAGATGGCAGTGATGGTTTAAGTGCAATTCTGCCGGCTAACTCGGTCCCTTAGCTCAACGGTACTTGCAGTGGCTGTCCATACCGGCACAGACATTCAATGTCGGCAACTATCGGCGCAACGATGCGCCACAACCCACCGCTGACTTCTTTGACACCAACAACGCCGAGGGTGAGCGGAAGCGCCGTGCAGCCGCGGAAGCCGCCGTAGCTGACATGCTTGCTTGGTTCCGCACCGGCGGCGTTGTTGCGATACTAGATGCTACCAATTCCACCAAGGAACGTCGAAAATGGGTCAGCGACGTTTGCACCCAGCACGGCATCGAAGTTCTCTTTGTCGAAAGTAAATGTGACGACCAGGAAATCATCATGGCCAATATTCGTGATGTGAAAACCACCAGTCCGGATTATCGCGGCAAAGACCCCGAAGCTGCCGCCCAGGACTTCCTTAACCGCATAAGCAATTATGAGAAGATTTATAAGACCATTGACGAGGACGGTGACGAAGACGAGTACACGTACCTCAAAATTATGAACATCGGAAAGCAGGTCATCATCAACCGCATTCAGGACTACCTTCAGAGTAGAATTGTCTACTATCTCATGAATCTACATATTCGCCCTCGTTCTGTCTGGCTGTCTCGGGTAGGTGGGCCCTGTCGACCGAACAACACATGGTCCCCATGATTTCCTCTTCCGAGTCCGACTAACACATTCCTCTTTTGTTTGCTTTTTTTTTTAGCACGGCGAATCCATGTACAACCTGGACGGAAGGATTGGTGGGGATACCTTATTGTCACCGCGGGGCGAGCAATATGCCAGGAAACTTCCCGAGTTGGTGCGGGAGTCTGTTGGGGTAAGCGTTTAATGAATGATCACTCTGAGCCATTGAGTGGTGACACAGTCTCACAAATATTCAAGGACGATCGACCTTTGACGGTTTGGACATCAACGCTAAAACGAACCATTGCTACCGCGCGCTTTCTTCCACTCCACTACAATCAGCTGCAGTGGAAAGCCCTGGATGAATTGGACTCGGGAGTCTGTGACGGGCTGACCTACCAAGAAATAAAGGACCGGTTCCCCGAAGATTTTGCTGCGCGCGACGAAGACAAGTATAATTACAGGTACCGTGGTGGGGAATCCTACCGTGACGTTGTCATTCGCCTAGAGCCAATAATCATGGAACTGGAAAGAAGTGAGGATATCCTCATTGTCACTCACCAAGCTGTCCTCCGGTGCATTTACGCGTATTTCATGAAGAAGGACCAAGCTAAGAGCCCGTGGATGAATGTGCCACTGCACACACTGATTAAGCTGACCCCAAGAGCTTATGGAACTGAAGAGGTCCGGTATGAGGCAAATATACCTGCTGTGAGCACCTGGCGTGGAAAGGGAAGCACAGCAAAACACGAAAATCCAACCCCCGAGAGTCTTTAGCGATGGACCACACAACTACCCTGTCTATGCTGAAGCGACCAGCGTGCGTCTCCTGGAGGATCAGAAACATAACACAAGACAATCCCATGCGAATGGTATTGGATATGTGCAATAATAAAACATGGAAAGGTACTTATGAACAAAACTTGGCATTATTCGGGATATGTAACTTTACTCCAATGACGACTTGTACTGGAAGGGCAGATGACGAAGCAATGTATAAGTCTGGGCATTTACGAATGAATAGATGAATTGGCGGGTCTTGAAAGACATGGCAAGGGACTTTGTTGGCTTGATGCCACCGACTTATTTTGTGTTTATTTAATTTACTCGATCTGGACTCCGGGTCGCGGGCGAAGTGTATCAGAGGATACATTGCATAATACCACCACCATGTGGAAGTGGCGCAAGGATTTATTCACACTTGGCATTCAATATATTGCTTGGCTCTTGTACTACTCTGGTACCCTTTGTGTGCGCTGCGCACCAGTGGTGATTCGTGTCCCAGCCGCCGTAGAGATATTTGCAAAGCCGCAGTTTTCTTGTCAGTGATGCGTTGCAACGTCGAGTGAAGGTGATGATGTGTCCATGAAAGTCGATAGTGTCACACCGCAATCGAATTGCATTGCGCACACACACACATACATGTACAAATATATATATATATATATATACACAGCAAACATTTCTTGACAAAAACATGACAAGCTTTTGCGTACATTTTTCACCGGTTGCATCTGTTCGTCTTGCCCATTCCCTTTCTCCAAGTCAGCCTGGACCGTTCCCGCAACGCAGTCCGCAAGTCAACCACCATCTACCGCAAAGAATAATGTCGTTTTACTTCCAGCCCCCCGTCTTCGCCGTCCAGCCGACAGCGTGCGTCCAAGCGGTCGTCTGGGCGCCAGCTCCCGCAGCTGTACCCGCGTACTGCGCGGTCGTGCAGCCGATGCCAGCGCCGGCCGTGGTGTACACGACGACGACGCCCGTCATCCAAGTGTACACCGCACCCATGGTAAGTGCCGCCGCCGCCCTGCCCGATGGCCAGCGCCCCGGCTTACGCATCAGAATCATCTTCTACGGCCACGGGCCGGGGCGTGAAGCCCCGCGCAGCCTGTGGTGCCGCGCGGCGGACGCGACGTACCCCGGGGCACCGACGGGATCGCGGCTGAGGGACGACATTGCCCGCCTGGCAGAGGTCCAGAACCTGGCGCAGCAGGGGTGGCGGCGCGCCAGGATCGTCGTCGCGGCACCGGGGTCGGCGGCGCCGGTGATTGCCGCCGAGCTCGGGCCCGTCCTGGGCGACGACGTGGTGCGCGTGCTGGAGCTGCAGAGGGACGCGGGCGCCGACGAGGATGCCGCGGAGGCGGAGCGCAACCGCGTTTTGCAGACGAGCTTGGCTGGCGGGCAGGCCGTCTTCCTGACCGTGTGTATGGACGACGAGGCCGGAGCAGGGCCGAGTGCTCCCTCGAGTTCGGGCGGCGGCCATGTGCCGTTGCTGAGCGCAGATGTCTAGGAACCGGACGGAGGGGAGGCGGCGCAAAGCTTTGCAAGAGTGAGGCAACGAGAGCAGGAGGCGACTCAGCCGGACCAGCAACATACAACAGCGGCCACGATGGATATATGAACAGCCCGGGGTGTTTTGGTTGCCGCTGAGCAAGTTTGTTGCAAGCACGCAGGCATGGCATTGCATGGCTTTGAAGGCTACGTTGCGGCCACTGGGGAACATGAGCTGAGGTGTACGCCAAAATATAGTTTATGATTATAAGCACAGGAATAATGGCTAGAAACCGAATAGCACCAAGCTCATGCCCTTCATGAGCTACCTGGCTGAAGTAGTTTTATATCGTACAGAATGAATTGCAAGAACGACTCCATTACCCCAATTAGCCCCCCTTGCTCTCTCCATACAAGCGACCTTTGTTTAGACCAAATGCGCAGTCGCCTATTTCGTCTTTGTCGAGCGTCGCTCCGTTCTCTCCGTTGGTGACTGAAGCCTCTGTACAAGTCTGCCAAACACCAGACACCAAATTTCAACGAAACAACTCGCGACATCGAAATAATAAAAGAAACAACCCAGATCCAACACTCATCATGTCATGTGGTCACTCCTACACACATGGCCGCCCCTTCCTGCTTCGTAAAACTTGAACTCGACAAAAGCTGCGTATGCTATATAGCACTACTTCTCGCTGGGTATCAGTCGAGCAAGCTACGTGGACCATGGCGCTCATCGTCTCGAGGTTGGAAAGACAAACGCCTAGCCCCAGACACAAGAAAAAAAAACCGGCAGGGGATTTGGAATCAAGAAAAATCAAATCAAATCAAAAAAGCAATTATATGCTGGTCTTGTCCCATCGACTCTCCTAAACCTGTAAACAAATTTGCCGGCCAAGAATCAACCGAGTACCGAAACAGACGCCACCATGCTGCATGAAAACGTAAAAGAGCATGAAGTATATGCGTGACCTTCCAGCAAGCTGTCAAAGTCAGCACGGGGTAAATCTTATGAAGGATTTCCCTTGACGCGCTTCGGCATCCGAGGAGTAGGCGGTTTTCCTCTGCCTACGCCGTTGACCTGGGCGCCACCTGGTGTACCCGCTCCAGAGCCGTCGTCTTCGGTTTTAACACCGGATGGGCGTCTGCGTTTGTTAGACGCTGGTGAGGTGTTGGCGCTTGGTCCACTTGAACTGGTTCCTTGCTGACTAGGTTGCAGCTGCATCCCTGGAGCCTGCATTTGTCCAGTAGCTGGGCTGCCAATATGTGGTGACCCAGGCAGATTCATGTGTGCTGCTGCTGGGCTCGCTCCCATAGGGAATTGGCCAAAGCTAGGTGTTCTAGGTCCACCTTGGGGTATTTGCTGACCGTTGATCGCCTGGGCATTTCCATTGATGTAGGTTCCAACGTACTGCTCTAGTGCAGCATAGGGGCCAACACCAGGGTTTCCCTGACAGAATCCAAAGAGCGGGTTCATTTGACCCATAACTTCGACAATCTTTTACACATTCTCAGATTAGATGACATGACTGAAAGGGTCTAGAAGTTGTCTTGGTACGCGACTTACCTCGAGGAACTGGTGTACCGCCTCGGTTACACCTTTGCTGTTGACAGCAGAGTCAGGGAGGTCCACAAGGACTTCAGGTGGTTGGGTCTGAGGTGACTTGAGCTGCTTCGCCTTGCTCTTCTTCGACATCTCCGGAGAAGTTTTGCCATCCTGAGAGTTGACCTTGTGCCATTCTTTGATCCACATGTGAGCGGGTTTAGCGGCTTCTATAACCTGCTTTCTCGAGATGTATTCCTCATGTCCAGTCGTCACAAACTCAAAAAGTTCAATGCGTTGTTCACTGTCGAATTGTACCCGGAGTGTGCCGGTAGCGACAAGCTGTCCTCACTTAGCTGTGCATTCTCGGATCTAGTCTTGCAGCACAAGGACTTACATGTGAGCCGGCTTCAAACCAGTAGACCAGGCTAGCTCTTTGGTTCTCGATGCAGTGACCTTCGCCAGGTAAAGGGCGATCGGTGAGCCCCTTGTCCATGATCAACTGCATGCTCTTGACGCCGCTGCTAAAATGTGTGTGAAAGTATCGGGCAATGGCCGGAAAAGCTATCTCATATTGCTTGTCGGTTGATTCATCGCCGTCATTTATCAATACTGAATGACGAAGGACACCATTATTGGAGAAGAATCTTGAAACAAAGCCATTCCAGTATGTCAGATCGTCCTTTGCCCTCGGTCCCTGCTGTAATCATCAGTTCCCCGTTGACATTAGGTACGGGATAGCAATCATCATAGTGAGTGCCCAACTTACAGGAAACCCGCTCAAGTGTTCAGAGAACTGCATCAACTTCAATAAGCACTGACCCTTCAGATTCTCTCTTCGCTGCTGCTGGAAGAGGTTGTTCGATAAAGCCATATGTTGCGCAGCGGCTGCCGTGGCAGCATTCATCTGTGGCTGCGCTGGACCAGCACCCTGCTGAGGTTGTGGTTGGCCAGGCTGTTGAGACTGATTCTGTGGTTGCTGCTGCTGCTGCTGCTGCTGCTGCGGATTTTGTACTTGCTGCGGAGTCGGTTGGGATGGTGTAGGCGGCGCTGGCGTTTGAGCTGGCGTGTGTTGGCCGCTGGGTGCCGGAGTGCCAGCTTGGGAGCCTTGTTGTGGTGTTTGTTGGGATTGTGGTTGGCTGGACGGTTGTGGTTGTGGTTGCGGTGGTTGAGACTGAGGTTGAGATTGAGGTTGAGGTTGCGGCTGCGGTTGCGGTTGCCCTTGGCCTGGTTGACCGGTTTGTTGCGGCTGGCCCATCTGGTTCTGTCCAGCAGCACCCATTTGAGCTTGTTGCTGTTGTTGTACATTGGCCAAGCCCTGAGCATTCATTCCCATTGGTTGCCCTGCATTTCCAGGTATTTGCTGACTCTGGGCGGCTTGCTGCTGCTGCTGCTGCTGTTGTTGTTGCTTTTGCTGTTGCTGTTGCTGCTGCTGCTGAAGCGCCATGTGATGAGCCATGAGAGCTTGGGCTTGGGGATGCTGACCCTACAGCAAGTGAGTTAGTCTAACCGTGCTAACACGTCAATAAAATATGAGGGTGGTTCTCCTACAGGTCCCATTCTTCCGGATTGCCGAAGCTGTTGAAGCTGTTGCGGATTGAGTTGGCCCAGCTGCATCCCCATGGGCATCCCGTTGACGCCGACTGGCATGTTGGCTTGAATAGCCTGCTGGGCCATAAATGCCTGCCTCGCCTGTTGCTGCTGCTGTTGGAGAAGTTGTTGCTGGCGCATAGCGGCCATCGCGCTGGGGTTATTGACTAGAGACAAGAAGGAGGCACAGTTAGACCATTGAAACAGTCCCGGTAGACATAGCGGACAGACTCGACTTACATTGATTCTGCAGCTGCTGCTGGTGCTGGTGCTGAAACATTTGCTGTTGAGCGGGATTCAAGTGCTGTAATGCATGAGCATGAGGATTAGCACCTGGTGGCATGGCACCCATCAAGGCAGGGTTTACTTGTCCTCCTGGGCCTACGGCCATGTGAGCTCCGGCGAACTGCTGAGGCATTCCACCACCAGGTGCACCTTGTGCAGAGTTGGGAGGCATGCCAGGTCCCATGGGGTGACCGGCGACACCAGGATGTCCCATCCCAGCGGGATGCCCTGTGAAGTTTGGGCCCATGCTAGTTGCCATCATCTCCTTGCTATATAAAGCCGGCGATCCACGGCGTGGATATCGACAAGCGGCTGCGGTGCACTATCGCATGCACATACGTCAGGCGTCGGCTTGGGGAGGTTGACGTCGAAGTGGGCGATGGACCAAGGCTGGTGTCTGCAGGCAGGTATCGCGACGCGGATTGACGGCGGAGATGGGGATGGCCCGGCGGGAGACAGGCAAGATGGCGAGCAAACGGCGTCGGAGAGACGGAATCCGAGCAAGAGGAGAATGAATTAAGTGCGAGAATGATGGAAGCTGGATCGATGCGGAGTCGAAAGGGCCCAAACGTTGACGCAGGGCTGCGCGCGGTGATACACACAACGCTGACAGGGGACACAAGACGAAAGACACCAGACACCAAACACCAGCGCGGAAAACAGGCTCGGGGACAAGAGGCTCTGACGCGAGGGCCTGGCACCGGCGAGGTCTGCACTGGACAGAAGCGTCTGCCAGGTCGACGAGGCAATGGCTGGGCAAAGTATGCAGCGGCGCTGAGCAACACGTCCTCTGGGCGCCGAGGCGAACGAGGATGAAGAAGGGTCGAGGTCGGGACGCAACGCAGGACGCAGGACGGGGATCGTCGTTTCTGGCTTCTCTTGATGTCCCGAAAGAGCTTTCGCAGAGAGTGGGAGAGAGACGGAGGACGGGCCCAAACAGCACTCAGTGCTGGTAATATGGGGCGCCGCAGCCTCTGCTATGGCTATGGCTATGGCTATGGCCTGGCCGCCGGCCGCCTCTGGTCAACTGGTCGTTTGTTTCGCGCGCTGCGCTTCGGCCGCTTCAGCGTCAGCCAAGCCCCAACGACGGCGGTGCAGAGCGCGCTTGACGGGAGCCGCTGGGTACAACGTACGATTTCCCGCCCTTTTTGGCTCTTCAGCTTTTGAGGGTTGGGCGATGGCGTGGGATGATGCAAAAATGGTGTTGGGAATGTGTGCAAGTGCGAGGGACCACCACTGTCGGGGGTCACCTGGTCGCAACCTCGAAAACTCGCACGGCCAGAACAAGCTAGAGAGGCAAACTCGGAATTGGTTGTTGATAACTAATGAGCGAGCAAGCCAACGAGAGAAGCAGAGACGGGCACCGAGACGGGTGTGGCATCTTCCAATACTCGTACGTGCGGACATGGGACTGGGAATGGGAGGTGCAGGACCGTAGGGGCTGACCCCACTCATAAGTGGAGACATGCAACTATCAGGGGCTCCGGATCGAGGCCTGTAAAAATAATTCCAACAGCCTAGTATGGAACTACGAAAGTTTAACGCACATTGTTTCTGTCCGCCAAGGCCAATGGCTGGGCCGGCCTTGTCAAACCGGACTAGGCCGAAAGCAAATATCGCACAAAGCAGTCTATGCATATATCAAAGTCCGTGGCCTTGATCGCTGCAAGTTGGCACACTCCAAGGCCGCAGTTTAAAAAAAAAAAAAGGCTCGGCTAGCAGGAAAAAAAGAGATGAATTTCGCAGAATGAAGCGTGAGATTTTGGGACAGAGTTCACGTCTTTTTTTGCCCTCCTTATTTTTTTCTACAAAAGTGCAGGCCTCCTTGTTGTATGATATCCCCGTACCGAGTATACCCAGCGCCACTATTTTTGGGTGCCGCCGCTAAAGTTCAACCTCCGAGTGGTCTTGGTATCACGTGTTGACGTACAGTGCGTGGCCGTGTTAAAAAATTTGCTGGCACTGTTATCCAATATCTTCTTCCGCGTCGCGATGCCAATCTAAATTTTCCTTTCCACGTCCTTCCTGCAATTTGCAACAGACACAGCTTCTGCCTTCCTGCATGTGCGTCGATCACGAGCAATGCTTTTGAGAACTGCAGTGCAGTTCAATTCAAAGATCGAAGACATGCTTTAATTGAAGCCTGTAGTTGGCGGGTTTTTGCTAGAATTCACAAGCTGTGCTTTGAGACAATTGAGTGTGGGAGCTTGCAAACACATTTCAGCAATGCTAACAAGACATGCCCTCACCTTCATATCCCTAGGTAAGTACTCTCTTACTACCTGCCTTTTATCCGCCACCGCCCTCAACATCCCTTGGATGATGACACTGTTTGAAACGTCTTCTTTTCCCAACCGATTCGACCATGAAGAACCTTAGTCTGTTCGGGCCCTAGGCCTGTTACTTGCCAGTATTTCCTGTCTGACTACAGCTGTTGCACATTCACTCTTGTTCGTATAGTTCATTTGGACTCGTCGCTAATGTGTGCAATCAGACGCCTTGTCCCTGTTTCCAGGCCGAGTTGATCGCTTCCCACGGTTGGGAATTCTCTGAAAATTGTGAGTACAAACCCCTCTTAATAACACTCCCTGCCATGTTTTCATGATGAAAATTTCCACTTCATTCGCAGTTTCCACTCGAGTCCCATTGAGCCTATTTTGGGACAGATGAGGGTTAATGAACTTCCTTGGATGTCTGATCTCCATCGTTACTCATTACTTGTCGTTCAGTACCATGCCCAATGAGCATCTAGCTAACGAGAGAAAAACAGGTCTATATTCCTATTTTGGACACCCATACTTGTGCTTGTACTTGAATTCCACACTCGTAATAGTGACATCCGGTCAATATAATGTTTGACTTTTCTCTGCAGTCAACTGTTTGCCTCGTTATTTTCGTTCCATCGTGTGTGTGTTATTGTGAAGTCCAAGACTACCCAACGCCGACTCCATTGTTTTTCCAGTACCCTGATGGCATCTCAGAGTAAACAATCCTGTACGTAACTCCGTTGTTCCCTGTCGCCCTGTCTAGCCTTGCATTTTCGTCAAGTCATGATTCTCGCCCCTCGATACCCGTTCAAGCAACCCGTAATTCTTCCCTTCCTTCATCGCGTCGTACCCTGCCGCCCACAATACCTCTACGGTTTCTCCCTGTTCTCCCTCTTCCCAACCAATTCAGCTTGAGCATTTTACAAAGCTCCTCAATCTTCTTGCTCCCCTCGTCGTCGGCATCGTCCCCGCCAATACTGGACAAGACGCTCATGCACTGCAACATCCGGCCCACCATATCCGTCAGTTGCTTCGAGTCTTCCACATTCTGCTCTCGAACACTGCTGAGTGCAGGAAAGCCGGACGGGGTAAAGGGGCGAATGGCACCAGCGCTGTCGCTGCCATGACTGCCAAAACTGACGTTGCTGACCGCACGACTTCTCCCTCGTTCTGAACCCTCGCCGAGCAAAGTCGTGCTTGTAGAATTGAAACTACCGACCAAAGGATCAACTGACGTGGCCGTCCCGGGGCGAATCATGAAGGATTGAGACTCGGCCGGCGATGTCGACAGCATTCTTTCCAGAGGCGGAGAAGCCAACGCCATGTGCGCAAACGACGACGGCAGGAATTCGAGGGATAGGCGGGAGAATATGGTCTTGAGAGTGTCATATCGAGGGAGAACAACAATGTCACGGTAAGCGGTAAGGACGAGTCTTCTCACATCCAGCACAGCTGCAGCCGGCGCATCCCCTGCGGGTTTATTCGAGGATGACGGGGACGCGACGACACCACCCCAAAAGTCTCGGGCTTGCTCAGGCGTCATGATAACCCCGCAGCCGGACACCTCCAAGTCCAGAGGTAGGAAGACTGACTGCATATACGGCAAGATGAATGTGAATGTAAACATCCAGAGTTCCACCAGTGTCGGGATGAACTGGTCTTCGGATGTCAGGCGCAGGGTCCTATCTAGTATTGAGAACCCTGCTGTCAATAAATCTCGCAAGTCGTCCACCATGGAACTAGGCGATCTTTTGTGAATGCACCACTGGATATGTGTCTGAACCACGCGGTTGAAGTCCTCGACTGGGAGACGAAGATCCTCGCCTTCGAAAACGGCAAGTAGCTTTGATTTCAAGTAGGGCCAGGCTTCGTCGAGAGCCAGGTTATTCTGGCTAACAGCCTTCCCTGGCTCTGCCACATCATACAAGGTTGACTGCTGCGATAAAGGAGGCAACCCTGATGATGAGGACCAATCACCAGCCAGGTTGAATGTCGATTCGCTGTCCAATCGACCATCTGATTTCTCGCCGAGTTTCTTGTCCTTCTTTCCTTTAGAAAACGTTGAAGCACCTGGTCCTGGGCTGGCAGGAACGTTGAAATTGTACAGGCTGCTGGGTGCATTCGGATCTGTTGGTTTAGAATTACTTGAAGCTGAAGACAGAGGCAAGTGGTATTCGTCCTTTAGTTTTTGCTTTTGGCGAGATAGAAAGTGGTGGTGCTTCTTCTCTTTTTCCTTGACCTTTTCCTCCGAGAATACCTCAATGGGTCTGATGGTAGCAGAGGATGAGTTGTTGAGGCTATATAGGGATTGGGTAGGCGGGTCTACAAGACTGCTGGTGCTGAAGTTGCCTCGTTGCAATGCAGACAAAGCGCTTCCTATCTTGCCAGGGCTTTGAAGATTCTTGTCCTTGGCCTCGCCTTTGCTGCTGCTACTCTTCCCTGGCCTTGAAAATAACTTGTGCTTTGATTTCTCCGCCTTTGATTTCTCAGGAATGGTAGCGGGCAACGGTGGGACAGGCGGGAAGGGCGGGAAGGGCTGGGGAGAAATCGACTTTTCTCGTGGAGAGTTGTGTCCGGACCGTGGAAATACAACATTTGCGGCTGCGGTAGCGGCTGACGAGTGAGACCCAGCGGCTTTATCGTAATGCTGGCCGCCGTGCGCAACGAAAGCAGAATCTCGAGGTGCACTCGCCTCGGTGAGACTCAAAATAGGTGGACTAAGCGGCACCTTGGATCCGCTGCCACGCCGCACACCATCTGCGCCTTCACCGGGAAACGGCACAGTCTGTGACCGCTGGCGAACATGGGACGTGTTTTGATGCGACATAACCGCCGCCTGGGCGGCAATCTGGCTAGCTGATAATGGTCCGGTCGACGTTGGTGCTGCCGCCGCCGCCGCCGCCGCCGCTTGACCTGCCGCGGCGCTCATGCTAACGTGAGAGAGGTTGGACGTAGCGGTAGAAGGGAGGGTGGAATCAAAATAACCCTGTGTGGCCGAGTGCTTCCTTAAATGGCCCTTCAGCACGGGCGACGACAGCCCTAGAGCTGCCGGACGACTTGGGCCTCCTCCTGGGCGGGAGAAGTTCTGATGTACGTTGGAGCTGCTCGAGTTTGCATGCGCCGTGGCAAACTGGGCATATATAGGCGTCGCTGGCGAGTCGGGTCGTTGTCGCGATGCGGCTATGGGCATAGAAGGCGCTTCGAGACTGTCATCACTCCCCGAGGAATCAATGCGAAGAGGCGGTGGCCTAGACGGCGCCAACGGCTGCTGTCGTATTGGGTCGACGGGAGGGCTCGTGGCTCCCGGCAGAGGTGAGAAGTTGCCGGGAGCCCGGGTCTGAGGTCGCCCTGATGTTGGTGGTGGTGGTGGTGGTGGTGGTTGTCCTGGCTGCATTGTCGCGGAAGTGTTAGATGAGGTGTGGGGTGGGTCTGTTACATTTTGACTCAGAGCAAAGCGTCCGTGACAGAAGCAATGATGCGTCAAAGACTTGATCGGCCTGCAATAAGAAGGTGGGCGTGATGTCGCAAGGCACGAAAGAGGCAGCCCGATTGGCTTGGCGGGCGCGGACGAATCAACAGAGGAGAGGGCAGTTGCGAAGGTAATTGGTGGAGAGAGGATCTGTCTGTCGAGTTGTATTGTGATGTGTGTGTCGTAGATGTTGGATTGGTAGGTTGTGAATGGTGGGTGTCAATCAAGAGAAAGAGGAAACACAAGGACTGGGGTGAGGAGTACGACGAAGTTGGACAAGTGATGGATCGAGATAGGCTTGGCCGAGGAGTTGCAAGCAAGGATTGACGCCAAAAGACGCTTTGGAGTCTGGACCCCAGCAGCTTCCTGCAACCCCGCGCACTAGAGCATCATACAACGTATCAATACATGTATGTATGTACATATGTACATACATACGTGCGTACCTACCTACCTAGGTAGGTAGGTAATTGTGGTGAATAATTGACGTGATGGCCCACCTCGGGAAAAACAAATTTAAAAAAAAAAAAATACAACATCCCACTTCCATGGTGCAACCTGCTCCCACCATCCAAGTCTGCGGAATCGACGTCACATACCACCCACAAACAAGACATATCCGGCGAGTGTCATTGTCTTACCGCTTATTCCCCAACACCATGGCATCAGAGAGCAAAGACACCACCAGCCTCACGGCGTCATACAAGTCGCCGGAAAACGAGCACTTCACCATCGCCCAGAACATTCCTACCCCGCCAACTACCTCTGTACAAGATAAAACTCACTTCCTCGAGGCTCTCCGGAAGGCAGTCACCGACACGCAAGAACAAATCAACAACGAGTTGACGGCGCGAATGGAAAAAGACAAGGCTCGTGAGGCAGCTTCCGGCGCAACGGTCGCCGCCAGGCTGGGTGCTGACGAGGACAAGGAGGAAGAAAACTATGGCGAGGAAGTCCAGGAGGAGGACTGAGTGCGCAAAGAATACTTTTATCGTCAACCTTCTACGGAAAAAAAAGAAGGACAAAGAAAGAAAAAATTACACAGTGTACAGTCGCGACCCGGGGTATCCCTAGAAAAACCAACGGACCAGACATCATGACCCACGCAATGCAAATGCTCCTACAATAGCACCTTGTCGCTACGAATAACCCGCCACTTGGTCGAAAAGGTGGCCTCCGAGTTTGGGTTGCGACGAATCCCTAGCCCAGTTTGCACTTTGTCAACTATCAGCTTTTTTTTGACCCAACGCCCTATTCAAACAGCCATAATGCACCACGGTATTATCAGGCAAGACGGCCACGACACTTCCACCAAAGCGCATCCCTCCACCCAGTTTCTTGTGGCAAACGAAACAGTGACGCTCATCAGTGATGGTAACATGCCGGTTCCGCCCACCCTGGCCATTGGTTTCGCTGTCGCCGATATTCAGGCGAGCAGCAATAGCAATCTGTTCAGCTTTTCGCAAGCCAGCAACAATCCGAGACTCGTTGACTAGACTGTTCGCAGACCGTATGCGCCCGCAGAAGTAGGATTCCAGTAAGTTGACGGGAAGATCATCGGGGATCAGACTTAGAGTCGATGTGGCGGGTAATCGAGAGCCGTGTTTTGACAGAAGATCCAAAGCCGGCTCCAGTTGCACTGGGTGCGGCGACGGTGGCTTGAGATACAAAGACAATAGTATGTGGTAGATCGACTGTGTGGACTCATCTGTGTCAATCGATGCATGATCCTTAGAGTTGAAGGGTGATGATTGTGTCGCATCTTGTGACTTATACACTCGGTTGCAATACCTGTACAGGTTAGGAGACTGAAATCCTTGCCCACTTCAAATAGCTATACATACTCTTCTGCCTTTGCATAGTCTCTCATCTTGAACACATATATCTCCAATGATTTCCTGTGCTGACCCATGTTGCTTAGAATAACGGCCTGCGCCTCATAAAATGACGGATCTGTCCATTGTTAGTGATCACCCTAGTTCGGCAACTTCAACACCAGCGCAATCTCTTTGTCTCTTACCATCTTTGGGTATCATTCCCAGCGCCTTTGTCAGGCTATATACTTGTCGAGAGTCACGCAGGAATGCTACAAACTTGGTCATAGTCTCCTCCCATTCCTTATCCCTCTTCATCTCGCCTAGAGACTTAACATACAGCTCAACCAGCCGGTTATGGAAGTCGTGCGTTGCGTCGTCCAACTCATTGATTATGTGCTCTAGATACTGCCTTTCGAGCCGAGTATCAACAGTTCGAAGAAATACCATTACTCTGTCGCGAGGTAATGTTTCCGCATTTTCTGTATCTCCAGTGAAGATTTCCATGCCGTACGTCGGATTGCTCCTAAGTGCCCACCCAGCATGTTCAATAATGAGATCCATCTCCGAGGGTGGCAGGTTCTTCAGATACTCGATTGTGCGATCGGGGCCATGCAAACTCGGTGCTGCTTCATCAGGCTTCATCGGTGACCCGAATCTATGGAGAAGACCCAAAGCCTGTTTGTGCAGTTTCTTGCCGTAGAAGAAGTCAATCAGTTCGGTATATCTGTTATGCTCCAGCAATGCTTCGTTAACCACCTCTGGGTCGCAGAAATTCGGTATTCGGAAAAGCGAGCCCGCCAACGAAGGTTGCGAGAACATGTAGGCTCTGAAAAGGGCCGTGTCAACCAAGCGGAACGTATTTCGAAGTTCTTCTTCCAGTTTTTTTTCTGAATCTGTCTGTGTGGTTCTCAGGAATCGCTCTGCCGCTTCCTCAATAGACCGTTTCTTATCTTCCTGGGCTTTCAATTTTCCTGTAACTGGGTCGATGTATCGTTGAAGCCTGGCTCGGGTACCAGCCAAGTAGCTGTTAAGTTCCAAGACAGCATTCTTGAGGTCCTTACCCTCAAGAGGCTTGTCTTCTGTTCCGTGTATATCCTTAGCGCTGTGTGTATCCTCCACATCAGCTCCGTCCTTTTTAGAGGCAACTGACACTGCATCCGATGCAGCAGCCTTCTTATGGCCGCTCAAGAATAACTTTGCAAAGCCCCCAACATTTGCTGCCGAAGAAGCGTCTCCAGTGCCTTCGCGACTGCCTGGTCTTCCGCCATTAGTAGTTTTGGCTGCATCCCCATTGGCATCATCGTCATGTCGACTTCCTTCCCACTGTGACAAGTCTCCAGATATCTCCGGAGGAAATAAACGCAAAACTCTCTCTGGGGGTGCGTGAACATCGTCCTCATTCATCAAATCCATTGCCTGGCGAAACTTTTTCTTTTTAAACAGCGTTTCCGCCTTGAGCATTTTCACCTCTCGCAAGGTGTCAACTTTGTCTTTGAGAAGTGCATCCTCCAGCATGTTCAGAACACTAATTGCTTCGTCGAAATTACCACTCTGAATGAGTTCCGCAACTTGGGAATCGTAATCGGTAGCATCCATCTTCCACACGCATCGATCGCTAGAGATATGGAAACCTTTCCCTGCGTGCGCTAAACTGACTGTTGAGGGAGGGAAGTGAAGTTGAGCAGCTCCAGGAAGGGATACAGTCTGCATCAAGGATAATGTATCCGGGTTGCGAACTTCCAAAGAGCCCTTGGCAGGAGGCTGTAGTGCCAAAATGTACGGATACGAATACCCAATGGTCTCGGGTGTCGATGTCCAAGGTATTTGTCGCTTTTCAAGCGGCTTGCCACTATCGTCGACGAACATGGTATTAACATCCTTTGCCAGTAATACCTGGCCTTCCGAAAGTTTTGTGGCCAGAGGTTTCGGGGTATACCCTCCCAAGCCCACGTAGCCCATACCAGCTGTACTCACAGCTCCGAATCGACTCCCCTGCCCGTTAATACCAACTGCACCTGGGCTAACAATATCGACAATTTCCCGCGTAAGAACATCAACCACCACATAACCACTATTCATTCCACATACTAGCTTTGTCGCGTTGGCCCAAGTAATGGATCGAATCGCTTCCGAGAGGACTATTTCCACAACATCCTCGCTAAGCTCACTTTCATGCCAATTCCACAACAAAAGCCTTCGCTTAACCGCCACTGCCAACCGGCTGATGATTTCCGGAATCCCAGTGTCTTTGTCTTTGATGATATTTGATGTCACGGCGAAGCACGAAGCATTTTTCGTTCGGCTGAGGGTTTCTATATGGTCGTAATTCTGCAGGTCATGCAGCGATACGTAGTAATTCGACAGGGAGATGATAATGTTGGCTTCCTTGATAATTGCAAGCTGGTCGATGGCACGTGTCGAGAACTTCTCTACTTCACGCAACAAGTCGGTCGGTTTGCCCGATGGCCGTGAGGCTGGCAGACCTCCATTCTGTGAGGGACTTGTATTCGGGGCTCCCTGGTCGGCGGTCGATGGCGATTCGCCTTGTTGGTGCGAGGAAGGATCATTCAGTCTGTAGACGCGAAGAGCGCCGCTGTTGAGCCCGACGAGGATACGGTCGCCTGGAACAAATATTAGCCTGTCTTGTCCCTATAATCCTTGGCCCATGCGGACGGCTATAATATTTTGAGCTCGTACCATATGCTAGAATAGTCTCGATCTTTGACTTGTCTCGCTGCCGGAGCTCGATGATCGGGCGGGCTGTAAACGCGGAGAGCATGGCGCCGGCGAGCCAGCTCGAAGCTTACCAAGCTATAATACAATGACGTGCATCAGAGCCTCGACAGCTTCAGCATCGCCTGCAGCGACCAGGTCTAGACTGTGCATAAAGAGTTCACAGCTTTCAGACTGACGGTGGGCGCACCAAGGGCGGTGTCGGGACTCCCAAAACTCTAGTGTTTGCTGCGTGGTCTTGATCCGGATGTCGTTGCCCCGACTCTCGGCAACGACGTCAATGTAAATGCAGCTTGCCACTACGTATAGTGCGAAGTCGGAATTTTCACACTGTACCTCCAGGCGCCTCATCTCCACAAATTCACAGTGCAATTGTCAATATTGGCTCGTAAGTGATATCAGACGAAGGAAATGTATATATAACTATATTATCGTGGTTAGTTACGGCTCCCTGGCCTAGGTAGGGGCAGAATACAGTGTTACTATATGCCCTTGATCTACCATTTTTTTTCATAAGTTAATTAAAAAAATTAACTATATTATTGCGTGGTCTGTTACGGTTCTCTGGCTAGGGTACTGCCAGGCACATTGTGTTTTTCACTGGGCCTTTGATAAATGTAGTGATTGCACGGCCATGTAGATGAGTCAAAAAGAAGTTTAAAACAAACATTGTAAAATGTTTAACTATATGCCAACTGGTCGAATCAAACAGCGTGCTTCAAATTTTTGTTTTCTCGATATTGCATATATATTCTCGTCATCAATTCTATGCGCGGCTAACGAAACCCTCAAGTGTTCATATAAATTGTGCTCAAGAACGCTTTCTAATCCAATCCTGCAACCTGCATAATGCCATAGCCAAGAGTAATGACAACAGCGAGAGTGAGAATACTGCTGGGAATGCCTCTGCTGATAAAATGCTTGACTCGGAGATATCTTTGCCCTGTGGCATCCTCCTTCATGATAGCAGCTGCGTCATATTAGCGCATGGTCAACAGCCAGATGAATACTGAGAAAACTTACTCATATTGGGGAAGCCGCTAGTGGGAAGTCCCATGGCTGCACTGCACATCAATACACCACCCATAACCAATAGGTTGGGGTGCGGCTGATCCATAGACATGCCGACATCAAATACCAGAGGCAAGAAGATCAGTGCTGCCACGGTGTGGCTGATGAAAGTCGCAATCACCAAGATTAGTGAAGCAAAGACGACGAGCACGCCGTACAAACTCATGCCCTCGACATTCTTTGAAACAAGTTCTGCAACGGTGTGGAGCAAGCCGGATGATCGAACAGCCTTGCCAAGGGACAAGCCTCCTGCAGCCAGGATAATGATTGTCCAGGGGAAGTTGTTGAAGTCTTCCTTGGTCAAGATTCCGATGCCGAAGAAAAGAACAATGGGGATAATGGCAATTACA